TGATCGAGATCCGCGATTCACGTCGGCGTTCTTCAAGGAGGTTTTCAGTATTCTTGGCGTGGAGCTAAAAATGAGCACGGCCAACCACCCGCAGACCGATGGCATGACTGAGCGTGTGAACCGTGTCATTGAGGATACGCTAAGAGCTTTCGTCAACCATAGGCAAAACAATTGGGATGAACTCCTATCGCTATGTGAGTTTGCGATCAACAATGCCGATCAAGCATCAACAGGTAACACGCCATTTTTCCTCAACCATGGATGCCATCCAGTTACTCCCTCGAGCTTATTGACGAAGCAGAAAGCTGGAGCTGGCATGGACACGAATGGTCCGCTGTCATGGCTGGATGGCCGCGTAGAGGCACTACGTGAGGCACAGGATGCCATCGTGGCGGCGCAGGCCCGGCAATCATTGTATGCGGATCGAGGACGGGTGGAGGACGCCCTGAAGGAGGGGGATGAGGTGTTGGTCTTCAGGGACTTCCTGCTGACGCCCGAGGAACGAGACAGGCCTTCACACAAATTAAGGCTCAAGTGGTATGGGCCGTTCAAGGTGCAGAAGAAAGTGGCCCCGAATGCGTACAGATTAGCTCTTCCAAGAATCATTCGGGCCCATCCAGTGTTCAATATTGCTGCCCTCAAGCTGTACCATGGCAATGAGATACCGGGCCGTACTCAGCCGGCACCTCCACCCCTAACTGATGCGGATGGCCATACGCGGTACATTGTCGAAAAGGTGTTGTCGCACAAGAAGAGAGGACGGCGCACGCAGTACCTAGTGAAATGGAAGGGCTACCGCGATGCCACCTGGGAGCCGGAGGAATACTTGATGGATGAAGCAGGAAACGCTATTATTCCGCTGAAAACCTACCTGGACCGTTTTTCATAAAATTGCTATTTAATTGGCAGCCACAGTTGTATTGCTAGTTTCTACGTGTTGCAATAGAAATGTAGCATTCTGCATGATTAGGATAGTGCTTCCCTGCCAGCCAGGCGTTATTTGCAGAGGACATGCACTGGATCTTGAGTTCATCAGTGTTGTTTTCGGCTACCATGCATTCCACATATCTGTTGAGTTCGAAACAAGACGACTGACAACGGGAACAAGTTAGTGGGAACGACATTTATTATACTAGTAGACGACGAGACAAGAGACCAAGACGAACGAAACGACTACATGGTGATTATTGACGAGTGAGAAAAGAGAGAGCGAGATCAAGTCTAAACGGCAAGATAAAGGGCCTGGGTAGCTATGGCAAATATGGGCGCGCAAGTAGCTACCCAGGCCAACGGAGCAAAAGGAGACAAAAGGTGCGTACGCAAGTGCATGCAGGCCAGCTAGAAAAGGTACGGGAGGAGGTACCTAACATACCACCCCTCCATGAAAAAAAAATCCCGCGTCCTCGCGGAGGGAAAAAAAAGAGGAAATATTTAAAAAAAAATGAACTGGAGGAGAAGAAAACACACACACACACACATACTACACGCGCACGGATCTCACGAAAGTGTGTACTAAATGCACTACAGATCATTCCTGTACTACTTATAGTGTGTAATAACTATTGGAGTTTGGCGAGGAACATGAATTACTAGTATTTTGCACGGCTAATACAGCCTAGTTACACTTTTGCTAAACATCCAAAAATTAGAGCGTGGCTCACCATGATCGGACCCCTAACTTGGTAATGTTTTACGGACACACGCGCGCGCGCACACACACTACAAAAAAATTCACGAAAAATAAATTTGACGAAGAAGGAACGCATACAAAAAAAAGAAAGAGAGAAAGGCAGCTGACCTGCATGGCTTGAACGACACGACGAGACGAGGTTGGCGTAGGAGAGACGAGGTTGATAGAGACGAGACGAGGTTGGCGTAGGAGAGATGAGACTGACATGGACCAGACGAGGTTGACAATTTGACATAGACGAGACGAATGGCGGTTGAGGACGGCTGGGCATGGGATGATCTCAGGGTCGTGGGTCGATCAATAATCGGGCGCCAATATGGCTAGCTCAGTCGGTAGAGCATGAGACTCTTAATCTCAGGGTCGTGGGTTCGAGCCCCACGTTGGGCGCCAATGTTGAGTTCGAAACAAGACGACTGACAACGGGAACAAGTTAGTGGGAACGACATTTATTATACTAGTAGACGACGAGACAAGAGACCAAGACGAACGAAACGACTACATGGTGATTATTGACGAGTGAGAAAAGAGAGAGCGAGATCAAGTCTAAACGGCAAGATAAAGGGCCTGGGTAGCTATGGCAAATATGGGCGCGCAAGTAGCTACCCAGGCCAACGGAGCAAAAGGAGACAAAAGGTGCGTACGCAAGTGCATGCAGGCCAGCTAGAAAAGGTACGGGAGGAGGTACCTAACATATCCATGCATGATCATTAGTTACCATAACTGTTCCTTCGAATTGGTACTGTTCTGACAGTTGAGAGGGGGGAATGGTGTAACAGATTCACTGTTACTACTAACACTAGGAATAGGATACACTTATCACCTGCTATTATTACGCTGCTGCTGTTAGGTGTTATGTCCATCATTGCTTGTTCATGTATATAAGAATGCATTATGGGAAGGATCATTGCTTATTCCAAGAATGACTACTGAAGTTAGTTGGACTGTTACATGGACCAGTGCACACCGAGTTACGGCTACTCTGCCGGAGCACCAGCAAGACGCAACTTGGATCCTGGTCACAGCACCAAATGTCATGGCCGCGCTTCGGCGGCTTTGTGACTTGGCTTAGATCAGTCTAGTGGATACCCAGGTAGACGACCAATATAGTCGCCACCCAAGTTGCTAGCTCACACAAGGTAGTCGAAGGTTGAAGGGGAGCGATCAAAGATACTTTTATTCGTTGGAAGAAGGCGGCTTTTATGTGATTTTGGTTACAGTATAACTGTGATATAATAATTAGTAGGGAATATTAGTATAGCTTCGGGGAGCTCGCTCACCCACATTACATGATAGAGTTACAAATATGAGTGATGTCCGAGGTTATTCGTACGTCGATCGTGTGACGGAGCCTGGAGTACGCTGTCGGATGTTGCTGCAGCTAGAGCGCGCCGCCTTCATACGGTGTCTTGATTGGGTCACCCTTCACCTTCTGCCCCGTAGGCTCTTCCCTCTCATTACCCCGTAGGGCGCTTCACGGTCAAGCCGTGACCTCTCCCAAAAAAGGGATAACAGAGTCCGCAGTGCGCGAAGCACTTGCAGGACCCTTTACGTCGTACGACGCGAGAAGAGGGGCCTTGCTTGCTCGACTAACAAAGGTATCAGCTACCTTGCAGGACTAAGCAGGGTCCCCTCAAGCTCAACAGTGTAGTGAGTACAATGCTGACGACTTGTACTGAAGGTGTAGCCGCCGTACGACAACACTTGTGACTCGAGGCCACGAGTTGTAAGCCATGATTGCTCAACTAACGAAAGTGCCAAATCCTTCGTAGGACTAATCATGGTTCTTACAGAACTCTAGAATATTTCGGAGCCCAGCTTTTGGCTGCTGAATCTCATTGCGTGGTCGCTTTCACGACGAGTCGAGTCCGGGTCATGACACTTGGAAATAAATTATTTAGGTAAGGATAGAGGAAACAACAACCGAACTTAATCTTGGGAGAACTAATCAACAAGGAGAAGTAAAAACCGGAACTCTCCACGGAACCGGCGGGGCGGGGCTAGGCGACGTGGAGAAGTCCGAATGACGTTTTCGGGTACGCACGCGGCGCAGTCAATGGGACTTTGGCCAGCAAGAGTGGGGTAGCTAACCTGTGCAGCAAGCGTACCATACAAATGAGGCAGAATGCAGAAGCGGTGCGAATGCTTGCAATAATGACGCGTTGCGGATACGGCATGACGTCAACACAATTCATGAAAATGCCTACGCAAAAATAACAGTGAGCTACGATGCAGGAAACGATCTCGGCGATCTGGCAGACGAGGAAACAATTTGAAACTAGACAAATTCACAGTCAATGAGTTCGAGAAAAGGAAACATGATAATAGCAAGAGAAGAAAGGAACAGAGAAGGCGCGGAGAATGCAGAGTATGAATAAAAGATCAGAACGGTAAGCAAAGTCTGAAACGAAGATCATGACTTACAAATTCAAATCAATAATTCGAAGTAATAAATAGTCGTACATTATGGTATCATATACTTATGGAAAGAGAGGCGAACTATTCTACTTCATGAGGCTAATGTTGTCGAATGCTTTTGACACATCGAGGCCAAGGATGTGGTTATCCCGAGCGTAGGGGGTGGCTTTAGCTGAAATCCAGCGCTGTGTCCACACCACATCGGGAGTGCCACGGCCAGGCCTGAAACCAGACGAAGTGGATTCAAGATAATGCGACACACATGGTGTAATACGTTTGAGCACAAGAAGTGAAATGACCTTGCGCAGGGTGTTCAGCAATAAAATCAGTCTCAGGTTCGCAACTGGTCCCCGCGCGTTCTTAGGTTTTTGTAACGGTGTCCATATTCCTGTACAAGTAACACTACACAGGTCGCCGCACCTTGTGATGCTGTTATTGATCATCATGGTGATGATCCGGGAGATGTACTCAGCACCGAACTTCAGGAGTTCTGCGCATACATCATCTGGCCCACATTCTTCCTGATTTCGCAGTCGCCTTAAAGCCGCCTCTATTTCTTCGGTGGAATTGGGGGCCTCCAGTGTGTGCGGAGCTGGCGGTGGCAGCGGGTCATCAGAAGTGTTAACCTGCCCTTGATAGTGATCACGTACGCGAGATGCTGTTTCTTCGTCGCGCATGAGGATGTGACCATCAGCAATGTGGTGTCTGGACTCTGGAAGTGTTCACATTTTCCGTTGCTGCTGTGAAAGCTGAGCAAACTGTGCATTTGGTTGAACGAAACTTTTCTTAGCCACAGATCAGTGCAGATGACCAATGGTGGTGTCTATGTTGTGGTTCCACCACATAGTCGATCATGTTGTGGATATCCCTAGTACGATTCGTACAGTCAACTTTGCGAATAACGACATTCGGCGGGGCATCAGAAAAATGTCCTTATTCGCGAAGTGTCCTTATATCCGAAGTCCCATTTGAATGTATGTGAACCCATATATGGTAAAATATGATATGCATATCAAAACAAAGCTCGTTTCATGCTCTAAATCATTATGTACTTTATTTCATATCCACGCAAACTAAACTCATACCTTTCTAAAAAAGCTTGAAATTCGTGGCTGCAATAATTTCTCGATTCGGTTATCAATGCAATGCTGCTTGGCTTTTTCAACAGCATCAACATGATCACCAGATTCAGGGATGGAGCGCAGATACTTCAACGTTGTATCGAGCGACACAATGACATCATTGTATTTGGGTACTGTAGATGTGTCTTCATCCTCCTCTTCACTGTCGCTGCTGATGATCTCTGCAGAGTCCGTCGTATCAAGGACATCGGCAAGCAACTCGATATCAGTGAGGCCGCCAGTCGCTCCTGTTGCGACACTTTCATCAATGTTGACAAACTCATCGAAGGACGTGCCTTCCTCTGCCAACCCAGCTTCACAAACAGCAGACCAAAGTGACGCATCTTCTTGTTCGGTCTCATCAGGCGGAAGATCTTCGCTTGGTGTTGCTGCTGCTGCTGCTGTTTTGGGCTGAAATCCAACATGTCTATAACAGTTCTTGACAGTGTCGGATGTGACCTGTTGCCAAGAGGTCTTCAGCCATTGCACGGCATCCAGGAGGGTGATCTTGCATTCCTGGTCACTGTCGATGCAGCTGATTCTTCGCTTCACAAGCAGCCGCCGGTAATGGTGCTTCAGGTTTTTGATGATACCTGCGTCCATCGGCTGGGTCATGGAAGTGGTGTTTGGAGGCAGGAAGAAGATGCTTATGTTCGATAGATCCAGGTGTGGATGACCAGCAAAGTTGTCCAGGATCAAGGCTATCCTTCTTCCCTCGCGGACCATCCTGTTGTTGAGTCTGTTACACCACTGCTCAAACAACTGTCCGGTCATCCACGCCTTTTTGTTAGCTTCATACTCAACTGGGATGTTAAGCACTCCACGGAAGCAATGTGGGCGCTTACTCTTCCCAATAACGTACAGAGGCAGCTTTTCGCCGTCCGCACTTGTTGCTACCAACACTGTAACGCGATCCTTGGCATGCTTCCCTCCTTTGCATGTCTCTCCTTTGAATGCCAGCGTCTTCTCTGGACTCATTTTCCAAAACAGCCCAGTCTCATCTGCATTAAAGATGTCCTTGTCATCGTAATCTTGCCGGATGGGGTCGAGCTGTGTGTCGAGCCATGTTTTTGCACTGGCGTGGTCTGCAGACGCGCTCTCTCCCACGATCTGCTTGCAGGACACGCCATGTCGTTTCTTCCATCGCTCAATCCAGTTCAAATCCAAGCTAAAGTTGTCGTATCCTTCGATATGGTTTTCCGACAGCTTCTTCGCCAAAGTGGTGGCCTTCGCCAAGAGATCCAGTCCAGTGACCACAGTATCAGTTCGAGTGCTGCGAATGTTCCTGAACCATTCAAGGAGCGCTGTGTCAACTTCGTGGTATCGAGACTGCCGGTTAGCTCTCGCCTCCAACTTCGTAGGACTTTTTACATTATCCTCGATCCTTTCTCTATCCTTTAGGAATCCAGCGAGCGTGCCATGGGACACTCCGTATTTCTCTTGCACGAAGATTCGCTTGATACCCTTGTCAACGTCCTGAATCATCGAGTACTTCTCTGCGAAGGAGAAGCGCTTGCGCTTGAGAGATTGTTCAGCCATGTTCACTAAACAACGTCTGATCGGCAAATAAGATAAATCACAGCGACACTAGGCAAATGTCGCCCTTTTACGCGATTTTTCGAGATCGATCGAGCCTCGTATCGTCTACGCCTACGGTACAGTAAGGCAACCCAAGCAGCTCGTGCTTGAGCTTATCGATTTGTACGACTCGTTCCTGGTTTGTACGAGACTCGCGTAGTCGTCTGCGAAAGCTACACTGCTACCGCTGGAGTAGTACACACGGATCACAACGATACGCGCGTCGCCCACCGCAGCGGCAAGAGGAACTATGATCACTTCCTTTTGCAGCTGTGATGATCACTTGAAAAAAAACACGTCGTTGCTTGCGTCGCAGCGCTCACTCTGCGTGTTTCGCGTGGAACTAATCTGCATTGCATGCAGCCCTGCAGGCAGGCTGGGCCCTGATATCGGCATGCGCATGCAGTCACCACTGCACTGGCACTGCACGGACCACGGATCCGCGATCCGAGGAGTACATGTACAGGTACGTAGACTCATGCACGGTGTTGTGTTTGAAGAAAAACAATTTTAATAGTTTTCTCCTGGTGGACGTCGTTATGGCTTTGAGTTTGAACGTTTCCAGTGCTGCAGCTTACTTCTGGCACCTCTGTCCAGGGGTTCTGGTACTTCAGCGTGACAGGCGGGTGACATCGACGGTGACAGGTACAATCATGGACCTGTCAAGAGCCCGCTCCCCAAAAAAAGTCGTTATTGGAGTAGTGAATTTGACGTTGGGGGACGAAAATCGTGTCGTTAATCGCGAATTGTCGTTATTCAGATAGTCGTTGTATCCGAAGTAAAATGTATGCGATTAGAGGGGACTTTGCTCTGGGCATGGAAATCCTGTCGTTATTCGCGAATTGTCGTTATATCCGCAGTCGTTATTGGCGAAGTTGACTGTATTGCTGTCTTCAACCTTTCAAGTTGATGTTGTTCGGTAGCGCATTGAATAGCGGAACTCTATGTTGGCTTACAACAACTGGTGCAAGTTTGCCCAGTCCACAAGCGCCTGGCCGTTCTCATTGCGAGTTCGTTGCTATAATTTCCGATACACGATCTGACAGCGCTGCCAAATTTGCTGGTGACGTCCCCCACACCGATGACAAGCGGTCGTTTGCTCGTCCCATTCCAAGCGGAAGATAGTGCGTCATAGAACTTCTCCCTGAGCTCAGGCTATTCCTTCGACCTTGGGGTCCTGGATCAATGTGCCACGAAAAACCGGACTGGCAGTGATGAGTTCTTGGCTTGCGGAAACGATAGGTCAACTTAGCCTACTCGATCCGACCGTTTTTTTTAATACACGGTTCACATAATTTTTGAAACAGCAAAGCCAATTCCGCCATGGCTGTCGTCTGTCAGGCTGAACCTCATTAGACTGTGAGTTTTAATGATACTTCTGTCGAACGGGTCCTTTTCACTCAGCTCATGTAATCCAAGGGATCACATTGTTCACCATCACTATCGCTGTTCATGAAGATGAAATTGAGGGCCTTATGTCAGGCGAAATTACTGGTCAGTCGGCGACACGCATTTTTCACAAACATTTGCGTTTCACCTGCTGGGAGGGTATGCGTGTACTCGAGTCTCATCCTGAGCACGTTTTTTTCTTCTTTTTCAGCTCCAGTATAGCTGTATTTTTCATTGCAAAGCCGTCCTCGATTGTTGTGTTCGTTGTTCAAACGAAGTGGACATTCAATCATGAAGGCAGAGGACATAGGAGCCTGATTGGAGTTTCTCGTGGCATAGGACGGCCACACAGAGACACTTTGGGATTTTATGAATATAAAATACCGTACTCACGATGCTGAGATAAATTTGTGCGATATCAAATTGTTTGTGATCTACCACATCGAGCAGAACGGGATCCAAACACAAGCTTACCGACGGTTAGGCTGCCGACCTGACTGGACAAATGATCCCTGGCTTCACCAGACGCCAGAAGTCGGACACCATGTCCTTTGGCGCGACGTCCATCTCCAAAAAGAACTCCATCTTCGCCAAGAAAAGGCTTGAAATACTCAATATTCAACCAAGATTCGCGGACTCGTGTAGTATAAGTTTGTTGATGACATTCAGGTATTCATTGCATGAATGGTTATGTCATCAGGCGGTGAGGTGTAATGGAATTGCATGATTTGCAGTTCATTATAAAGTAATCAATCTTCTCCTTCGATCTTGTTCAAATAATTCTCTAAATGTACTGATGTTTTGACATCATAGTTTTTCGAAAGATTCCAATAATTTAGTTATCATATGTTGACTCGCTTTGAATCGCTGATCAGAGCATGATCATGTGATCTGATCATGCTGTGCGCCATTTTTGCTATGGTTCTTTGATGCGCGTGAGGGCATGAACCTCGCGGCATCAGGCTGGCTTTTGTGGATCTTTTTACTCTCCTTTTAGACTAATTCCTGTAAACAAGCCGTATTTGGGGTCTTGAGTGTGTGGTCGTGAGGGATTGAGGGAGCCTACAGACGGAATTGGTAGTGCTCTAGGGTCTGACCTAAAGTAGAAAGGAATTCGATTACAGATTTGGTACCGAAACCCACGTGGATGCCCCGGAAAAGTCGTCGTGGTCGTGGAAATACAGTCCAAAAACAGCAACGTGATAGTGCTGGTTGTGAGCAGACTGATCAAAGTTCGAGTGTCAGTGCTGTCAGTGTGACAAATTTGGACGTCGCGGACGATAAAGGAACTGTTGCGCGTGCTGGTGAACACCTTGTATGCACCATGTCCTCCAAATTTGATTCGTATTTGAAACAGTATCGTGGAGCTCGCGATGACTTTGATGTCTTTTGGAGAAAGTTTATGGTGGCTGCTCAACTTCAACAATGGACAACAGAGGAAAAGCGAATGGCACAACTTCCGTTATTCTTGGATGGAGATGCCTTTTTAGTGTGGGATGAGCTCTCTGATGAGGATAAGAAAAAAGAGAACAGTGTGAAACAACGGCTGCGTGATGCCTTCACGCTGTCGACAGGACAGGCGTATGGCCAGTTTGTTACGCGCACCCTTGGTCGATCCGAGAGTGTGGATGCATACGCTGCGGATCTGCGCCGGTTGTTAATCGCAGCCGGACATAAAGTCGAAGCGGACGGCAAGTCACCCATGCTCATCGAGCAGTTCATAAGGGGCTTGCACTCGCGCTTTCTCGGATCGATTATTATCCTGTTGGAAAAGTTGCAGGGCAGCTTCCCGCCACTGTTTCAACAGGCGATAGCTCCAAAGCATGCCTGGAACAAGCCATATCGAGGTTGCAAGCCACCCCTCTCAGCACTTTTTTGAAGAAATTCGAAATTTCAATGGTGGAAGATATACTATGAAGAGAATTTCAAAAAGTATGTTTCGCGGCGCGACCGCTCAACCTACGTCATTCAAACGTTGCAGGATGGTTCAGACGTACATGCTAGGCATGGAACCACAGGCGATGATGCCATAGCTGACACACAGCAGACTCGTGTGCACAGATACTAAATTAGTGGACGTCGTCATCTTCTTCCCGCTGATCTCGAATGTACTATGAAGTGCTATTTCACCTGACGGACAAGGCGACACTTGACAGGTTACGAGCCATCGGCACTGTCAACTATTTTTCAAATTCTAAATTCTTTCTCGCTGGGCGCATTCGAATTTATACTCAAATGTGACCGGTTCTTCACTGGAGCGGCGCGAATCGACTGCGACATATCTCACCCACTCCATTGTCAGGCTGCTCCGGTTCGTCATTGTCACCAGTGTGATCAACAATGCCTTGAGTGGCAGTGTTTTCAAGCTTTTCATTACAATTTCAAATGCGTCAGCGGTATCGCCACGAATTTAGCCAACATCGACCTCGCTGTCACCCTCAGAAAAGTAAAAAGGATCACACTGTTGACTGGTTTGAGGGAAAGAGACATACGGGAAAGTCTGAAGAAAAAAATGACTGTCACCCCCAGGACTCGAGCCAGGGACCTTCGCTTGTAGCCAGCGGTGCTCTAACCACTGAGCTATGGTGTAGTCGTCATCCCAGCAGATACCGTTCAACATTTTCTTCACACTTTGTAACTCACTCTTCCTGTGAATCCACACAGGCGGGTGGGACGCAGCCCTCACTGTAACCCACACACTTCACGTAAAAACTAGCACGCGGGGAGCCCCAAGTCATAAAATGTTAACTGGTTCGAGGGAAAATGACAAACAGGAAAAATCTGAAGTTGATTGTTCCAACTAGGAACACACGCTTCTTGCCGAACTTGACACTTGACTGACTCACGACTGCCATCCGGAGCACACGAGGAGCACGTCGCACCTTCCACTCGGCAAACCTGCAAGAAAGCACCACTCCCTGCTCAATACACGGTGTTTCGGAGAATTCACCCCTCATCAGTTGAGCTTGAGTAGGCTGAGGAAGATTGTGCCTGAAAAGCACCACTTATATACTGCTCTCCAGGCCAAACCATCACCAGGGATACAAACTTACAGAGACGCTTTGTTTCCAGCGCGACAAACACCTCGTGAAGCTCCAGGTAGCAGCGTGAGTCAGAGTCGCTCATGGAGTTGTGATAAACAGACGTTGAGAGCCAGTATAGCTATTCGCAACGCTGTCACCTCCAACAACTAGTCGCACGTCCAGAAAAATCTGAAGAAAAAACTGACTGGCACCACCAGGACTCGAACCAGGGACCTTTGCTTGTAGCCAGCGATGCTCTAACCACTGATCACACTGTTCATCCTCACTATTGCTGCTCATAAAGATAATGCCGAGGGCCTTAGACAAGGAGACACTTGATAGGTTACGTGCCATCGGCACTCTCAACAAAGTAAAAAGTTAGTTTCAAATAATTTGAAACTAACTGCATGTAATTCCAAATAATTACTCGATCGGCACATTCTCTGAGTATACTGAAATGTGGCCGGTTCTCCACGGGACTGACGCGGATCTACTGCCCGCGACACGTCTCACCTTGACGAATAATCAGATCGTACTCGTCTGAGCAAC